TCGAGTTTTGAAAAAAATTCTATAAATATTGAGTTTTTTTGCATAAATGTACGTTGGCAAAAGTTAAACTGTAGTGGCGTTTGTCTTTTCTTTACACCAATTGGCAGATGTGAAGTCAGACCCTGTCTAAAGATTAAAAGCTGGCAAGGCTTTGGCTAAGTCGATACCAGTCCCTTGTTGAACTACTAGCTATCTCTTTTTATTTTAAAAGAATAGGAAGTTCCTCATAAGCCATCACCAAATGAAAATTATTCAACTATCGAAGACGATTTTGGAGGTTTCGGTCTTAAATCGGCAATAAATTTCACAAACTTGGCTTTGAAATGACCCTTTCCATATAAATATGGCAAATCCACAAATATGGCCAAAGCAAGGGCATTTTTTTTTTTATGAAGAGGTTACTTATATCGTTTATTTAACATGTTAGTGTAGTGAATTGTATTGAATATACAGTGTTAATTATTTGTTTCTATTTAGGTACGATTGCAGCGATTTTTCTTAACTATGTGAGTAGCACATTTAAAGTTCACGGTGCATAACTCCCACTATGCAATAGAGAATCATTCCAAAAAATCAAAATATGATATTATATGTATTTTATATGGAAACAAGCTGACATACCACAGTCAGAACTTCTAACCACAATAGGACCTGATAACAGTGGGTGGATAATTTGTGAAGGTGATCACGCTCCACTTAGGTTTGATGGGTTCTATTGCCAGTGGAAATCAAAAACTTCAATAATATAAATGAAATTTATAATATATAAATAACATGGATTTGTGTGTCATTAATTTGGAATTTTTGCTTATCAGATTGACATACATATTTCATAAACCTAATAGATAAGCTGAAATAGGCCACAGTGAAAACTCTTGGACCAACGGATCCCAATTTGTGTAATACTGCAACACACGTAATAATTGCTACATCAGATTCCTACAAAGTAGTCTGAAACTATTTTCTTCTCAAATTCGTGAAAAGTGTCCAAAATGTTGCCAGATTTTATCAAATTACTTACCTACTAAGTGGTTTAAAACTATTCCAACTGTTTTTTGCCTGCTGTTGATCACAAAATTTTTGGTACACTTTTCAAATTTGCTTGTCAGATTTGTGAAAAGCTTCCAAAACATGTATTCAGATTTTATAAAATAATAATAATAAAATTACTGTACCCAGAAAGTATTCTAACCGATTTTTTTTTTTTCCTGCTGCTGATCACATAATTTCTGGGGCTTTTTGAGATTTTTAAAGCTGTCAGATTCGTACAAAGCTTCCAAAATTTTGTCTGACTTTATTAAATCTGTCATCTACTGAGTTGTCTGAAACTATTCCAGTAGGTTTTTTTCCTGCTGCTGATCATGTAATTTTTGGCAATTTTTTTGATTTTAACATAACCAAACGCTTACAGTTATCCATTTGACTTGAGGATTTTTGGCATTAGGGTTATCATCCCAACTGTTTAAAATTTTCAAACCTTCTGCCACTAACCACCTGGTTAAATCTTCGGTAGATCCCGGACTACAATAGGTCAAGATTCATTTCCCAGGACCGCCAAGAAATAAATGTTAACTAATAATAATTAATTATTGAAGTCTTTATTATTGAAGTCTAAAACACATTCTAAAGGTATGCTTAATTAGAGCCTTAAGTTCACATAAACTTATAAAATGTGAGACTGGTACAACATACTTAGTTCTCAAAAAACACACGACAGTATTCATTCTACATCTATAATTTCTTGAAGTAATGCCAAATTTGCTCAAAGTTAATTTGTCTAAATCTGATTTACCTGATGTCGCAATTTGTAGACATGACATAATTCGTGACTAATCATTTATTTTCTTGGCCATATAAATAAATAAAAAAATGAATAAAATGTGTGAGAGTGAGCAATATTTCATCTCTAAGGAAAAATCAACTTTTAGTTATAAACTAAGGTGGAATAAGGTTGTTATCAGATTGAGAAATAAATGTGCCTGAAGAATGTCTGATTTGTGAGTTATTCATATTGATGCTGGCTTATAACTAAAACTCATGAAATTTCAACTGTCAGCTGTCTGAAAAAATGTCTCTGCTTTTCAGCAGCTTTATTAATATAAGAAAAATTATACAAAACAATCCGTTTCAAAGCAGATATCAAAAACACCAGAACGTTTATGTACACAAATGTATGCACAAAAGTTCAAATGTTTGCAAATCTTATGTTTGCACTAGCGCTGTGCAGTGCAAACACCAGATCATATACTAAAATAACATCTGAAATTAACAACTTACAAGAATCAACAAATTTTAGTTCAATGGACATTTGATAGATAGTGCTATAAGTCTTTAAGGTTAATTATACATTATTTTAGATTATAAATCACCAATCAATCTGTTCAGATCATTATTCCATAATGGATATTTTTTCTTTTTCCAGGTAAAATATAAGTATTTTACTTTTTATTCTTTCTGTTATTCTCTAATTGTGATGATATAATTTATTTCTATAATTCAACATATTGATGAATATATTTATATTTATAATTTAATAAGAAAAGTATGAAATGTAACAATATGTTGCAAGATTACATACAAGAAGAGAATAATCTCTCAGTATTTTCTTGGATAATAAGTTTAAAATTTTTTTTTTTTTCCTTCCCCATTGTACCTCTTGGAATAGGAACCTTTTAAAGTATTGAGAAATTGATTAGACAAATATTCTTTATGCATTGTTTAAGAAAGAACATGAAATGCCCATTAATTAATCAACTTTAATATCATTAATTATTTACATTAATGATATTAAAGTTGAAAAGAAGAAAAAGAAAAAAATAAGAAACAAGAAAAGTGCTTATAATTAAAAAAAAATAATTAAACACAGTACTAAATATCCTTATATCTCATTCGTTGTCTATGTTTATTATTCAATTTTATCTCCTTTTACAAGTTTTTCAGGTTCTTGAATTTAAATTTGATTTAGGTAATTTTGGGGAATCTGTCACTGGTCACAAAGAAGTAACTTTTTTTATTAAATGAATTAGGGAGTTACCCTATGTTGCCTAATGTGGGCCAATCCCTATTTTACAAGTTATATACCCGTTAATTTAATTACATATCGCTACTGTTAGTGCAAAAGGTCATATGTAAAAAGCTGATTTTTTTTTATGTATGAGCACAAAAACTGATTATTTTTTTATGATGTATTATTATAATTTCGTATTTTATTTCCCCTACTAGCAAACTACTTATTGCAGTTGCAGACCACAAAATTTCACCTTTAGCATACATAGAATGAACATAAAATTATTAAATGACCTATTGCTCTAACAGTAGTGATATGTGTTCAACTCCTGTTACAGAATAGAGATTTACATCCTGCTACCTCAGTTATGGTACAACATATGTGCTGAGCTCCTGTAACCTCCTGCTCTCCTTTGTAACCTCCTCTGTTTTTTACATGTAAAATAAAATATGACAGTCACTAAAAACTGTTTTATATAATAAAGAGATTTATTTTTATCAGCTAATACTATCTTAATTTTATTTTTTAGAAGTTTATTATTCTTTAATGGCTTTAGTTACAGTTTTTGTCAATGATCCTGGATAAGTCTGAATGTTGACCATAAATAATTTGAGAAATAGGTTTTGAGAGTTTCATAGTTTATAAATTATGGGATTTATAGTTTATTATTTAAAAAGTTTTATCTCTGTGGTTATTTTAATTCAATTTAAATAAAGTAAATAAGATCTCAGATTAAGTTCTTGAAAAAGACCTTATAAATAAGAAAAATCTAATTTCCTCATTCAACCTCTTAAGATTCAATTTATAGGAATTAATCTGAATTTTCCTAATCAATTTAGTATGTGACTATTCATTACAGAGAAATGTTAACAATCCATCTTTAAAGATTTAATTTTTTTTTTTCCGATTACCCTCTACTTTGCCATTTCTTGGCGACATTTGGAATATAACACAAGAATGGTTTAAATAATATGTGTATTTAGTGTTAAAGATACAATTTATATTTTTGACTATTTTTTCCAACAACAAATTCAATGTTTTCTGTTTAATTTATGGATTAAATATAGTTCATAATTTAAAATTAATGAGCCTAGCACATTATAGATTTCTTGAGACTTTAATTACACTGGGCAACAATGAAAATGTTTCGGGCTCAAAAATAGTCAATTCATATGTATTTCCATCTGCTGAATTCAAAAATTGCTTTGGAAATAAAGTGACATTTCGTGTTTTAGAGTCAACATTTTCAATTTGGAAGAATATTTTTTTGGGTATTTGTACACTTGTCAAATAACAAAAATCAAATTTTCTTCAGCTATTTGTAATTCATAAACATAGTTACTGTTGCTGTGACTGTGAGTTTCATATGGTTTCTGCTGTAATTAATGCAGAATTTCTGGTTTGAGAGTGTTTTTTAAATGTAAAATTCATAAAAATGCCACAAAATGTGTAAATATGGTGAATAATTTTTGTTATATTTGTGGTGAAATAACATTTTCCTCACAGAAATGCAATCTGACGCCTCTTGTAAAGACTGCCTATCAGCATTATTTTGGTATGAAAGTAGGGGACCAGGATAAGTCTTGGGCTCCACATATAAGTTGCAACGCATGTTCAGTTACACTGCGAGAATGGAAGAAACAATTATGGATTTTGCTGTACCTATGGTTTGGAGGGAGCTTACAAACCATACAGATGACTGCCATTTCTACTTGACTGCACCTTTAAAGGCAGGATTGTCATCTATGAAGAAAAGAAGAACAGTTCAGTACCCAAATCTTCGGTCTGCTATTCGACCCATTCTGCACGCAGATAGTTTACCAGTTGTTTTTTTTTTTTTTTTTCTTCCCTACCTCGCCTTTTAGGCTATACGGGATTTTCCCGGGCTGGGGAGTGAGGGCGGGGAATTTAAAATCCCCTCTGGCACTGGGACACGAACTCGTACTTTTTAAATCTTCTCAAATCTATAATCTGGTTGCCAGGCAACTTGCGGTGCTGTGCACACTCTTTAGCCCATTCAGCCACCCCGCCCCCTAAAAAAATAAACAGTTTACCAGTTGCTACAACACCTGATAATTGTGTGTTTGAAATAGAAAATGAAGATAGTGTGGAACAAGAAGAAGAACTAAACAAGCCTTCCACACATCCCCTGACCCTGATTTTGAGGGAAAATATGATAAACCGCAAAGACTAAGTCAAAAGAGAAAGCAGAAATTCTTGAGTCTCGACTACAGCAATGGAATTTTCTCGAAAGTGGTGTCAGAATCTCAGAGTACAGAAAACTGCTTCCCTTTTTTGATAAGAAAAATAATCTTGTTATTTGCTGCCACATTAATAGCTGGATGAAATCTTTGAAATTGAACCATGGTCCAACTGAATGGAGACTATTCATAGGCTCCTCCAAGCTTAGTTTGAAAGCTGTGTTCTTCACAATGACAACTTTCTTTCTTCTATTGTTGTTGGTCATGCATTTCACATGAAGGAGACATATGCAAATATGACAGCTCTCTTGGACTCACTAAAATATCATGAATACAAATGAAAAACCTGTGGTGATTCAAAAGTCATTGTCATACTTTTAGGAATGCAGCTGGGGTACACAAAACATTGCTGCTTCTTATGTATGTGGGACAGTAGAGATAGGAAATTGCATTATATTAAAGATAACTGGCCTGCAAGAAATCTTGATCGTTGCTAGAAAAACGTTGCCAAGCTTCTCATGAACCCAAAAGATATTCTACCTCCATCCCTGCATATTAAGCCAGGTTTGATGAAAAATTTTGTCAAAGTTATGAACCAAGAAGGACGACCTTTAAGTACATAAGAGAGAAATTTCTGACATTAAGTGATGCAAAACTTAAGGAAGTAATATTTATCGGGCCACAAATTCGAGTACTTGTGAAGGATCCTGCATTTGACCAAGTTTTGGAAGGGAAAGAAAAGCAAGCTTGGAAAGCCTTCAACGGAATTGTTTGTGGGTTTTTAGGCAACAAAAGAGATGACAACTACACTCATTTGGTGACAGAGCTCCTGCTAAAGTACCATGACCTTGGATGCATCATGTCCCTTAAAATCCATTTTGTCCACTCCCATCTAGACTTTTTTTCTCCTAAACCATTATGGAAAGAATGGAACCATATAATCTCTCCAGACACAACCATCTGCGAGGTATTCTTCCAGAAATTTATAATTCTTAGAATGTAACCACCATTTTGAAAAATCAAATGCACTTTCAATGCTGCTAGCATATATCTCTTAACCCACTAATATGAAGTACTTCCACCTAGTGTATATCACAGAAGCTAGACCTAAGAAAAATTTGTCATTGTCATGTTCAATTTTCCCAACCCACAATTAGTAAGAATTGACTCATGAAGTGCTAGAAACATTAACAACTTGTTTTTTGTTGCCCAGTGTTATTTTTTCAGAATATTGGGAAACCATAAGTTAATACAACACTTATTATTTTTATTCCTGATAAGATAAGCATAGATAGATAGAAAATAAACCCTATTCTGGGACTATAAATATAGTATATAATGAAATATTTTATAGATTACTTCTTAATAGTTATTGTTTATGATTTTTGTTTTTCATTATTTTTATTTGTTACAGTGTCCTGAATTTTTTATGCATTGATCATTGTAAAGTTTTTAATATTTGTTTTTTTACATTAAGATCTTTTCTCATTTTGTGTTTTAGTATTGCATGTGTTTTACTGTTTAGTATTATGTAGTATATTTCCATATAATTTATGAATAAGTATTTCTCCCCTAGGAGGCTCAGAATTGCTCATAATATCCATTCTACAGGGATATTACAAGTTTCTCCTGAACAAGTAAGACTGTCTTTTATTAATTTGTTATTAAATATATATTTTTTAATATTTAAGTAGTTGTTTGTAAATTTTTATTTGATAATTTCAGATTTACAGCTTTTCTTCAGATCATTTAATTGATTGTGGAGAAATTGGTCGAGGGGCATTCGGGACTGTTAACAAGATGGTTCACAAGGATAGTAATATGCTAATGGCTGTGAAGGTATGTTATATTTTATTTAAATGTCCCAAAATATCAGCTCATGACAGTAAATCAGTAATAGTTGTAGGTTACTGACAACTAATCATGAATTTAGATTTGAAAAGATGCCTTTGCTATGTTAAAAAACTGTTATTTCCAATCATTCTTCTATTTCTTTTTTAATGCTTTCAAAAAAGTTCCTTTTCTGGAGTGGATAAGAATCAACTCCTAACAACTTCAAGTCAGTTTTCATTATATATAATTTGTTGAATACCAAGAATCCTGCTTAGAATCCTTGTAATATTCAATGGTATTTATAGGATCCAACTTGTCACTAGCGTCAGCAACGATGGACAGCAATATTCCAGCTGTCTTCACACTACCTTCCATCAACTTGATATGAAGTCTGTTTTGGGTCACAATGTGGTGTGTTATAAATGATTGATTACAGGTCAATTTTATCCATTACATTTGAATAATGTATAACATCTTATATTCTCTGGATAAGGTCTATAGGACAGTATTTATTATACGATGTTGAATTTTTTCATAATTTTGGTTTCAAGCCAATCATCTAATAATATACTTATGCAATTTCTTGAGGTGTTATACTAAAGACAGAGCTCCACATCTATCATATTTGTTTAGAATTTAAATGCGCTGGCACATAGACATCATTTAGCTGATCCATTATTCAATATTTTGGACCAGTAAGACTTATTTTCTTTAATCTGATTCTGTATTGCCATTAGAAGTTTGTCATGGAAAAGTACCCAACTAGTTGATAATGCAGGTTAAGTTGCAGTATTCTGATATATTACTATTCGGCATTGGTTATTGCATGTTTTATTTTTATTTTATTTTGTTGATATATTTTAATTATAATAACTTATATTTTATTATTAATTATAATATAATTAATCTATATATTATATAGATTTAAGAAATATAAATAAATAATATTTTTATTTACAGAGAATCAGATCCACTGTTGATGAAAGAGAACAAAAACAGCTATTAATGGATTTAGGAGTAGTTATGAAATCAAATGATTGCCCATATATAGTCAAGTTCTATGGGGCTCTTTTTATTGAAGTAAGCTGATTCATTATTTATTAATTATTATTTATAGAGCATACTATGCAATTAGTTTAGTCATTTTTGTTTGGAAATTAGACAAAAAAATAAAATAAAAAAAAATAACAGACAAACAAGAATAGAAGTATTATTTTATTAATGAGATTCAATTATTCTTTTATACTTCTTACTATCTCTATAGATCATGAGCTAATAACAAAAATAAACATATTAGTAATATATTGGCCTATTATTACAGCTGTTTAATCATGCTTCAATAAAGCATACCAACACTACAATTATTGCTTTTGACAAGATAGTAAAATTAACTAAATTATACTTGATAATTTTTATATTTCATAAGAAATCCGAATGCCGTAGAGTGCTTTACTTAGCTTGTAAATAAAAACTATATTACTTCCTTTTGCACTAAACATTACTGGTAATATAGATATTTTAGCATTTATTTTTACTTTCCTCATTATTCAATTTGAAACTAAGGTTGTAATTAACTCCAAGTAACATAGTAGTAAAATGACATTAAATAATATTTAATTATAATAAATTAATCTAAGAAATAATAATTTTATTTACTTAGTTTATACTTTACAGGGAGATTGTTGGATTTGCATGGAGTTAATGGATACTTCTTTAGATAAATTTTATAAATTTATTTATGAACACTTAGCAACCCAGATACCTGAAAGTGTGATCGGAAAAATTGCAGTTGCGGTATTTTTATTAATGTTTTTCTTTAGATTAATTAAATATTTTATGTACATAGCTTATTTTGGATATGCAGTCAAAATTGATTATAACGAACTTCAGGGAATCGTCAGATATTACACTTTATAAGCTGTTCATTATGCCCAATAAAATGCTTAGTTTGTTATATCTGAAAATAGTATCTAATGGATACATGTGTATGCATTGACATATTGAAGTTTTCTTTATATTAAAGTAATTTTTAAAAACCTTTGAAATGGTTTTTGATGAATTTCTATGTTCTAAAATTGTTTAAGATATTTATTTAAATATTTTAAAACATGAAACATGGTGTTTGTTTAAAATTAGGTATCTTGCTTGGATTTCATCTTGTGTAGTTTTTTTCTACTGACTTTGAGATATCAGCAAAGATTGCCATCCATTTATTACTAGTGTCATTGGTACTTAAATTATACACAGTATTCCAAACAGTGTTGTTACAACTCAGTTGTCCTCATCTAAATATTCATCTAGTGTTAAAATTAGAGAGAGTATTTAGTAATCAGAAAATAATGTATCATTTGGAATGTTTGAAGTTAATATGGGAACATTTCTTGAGATTAGACCACAGTAAGCTAAACGATTAGCTTTAGTTTCATCAAACATCATAGTACATGCATTCAAAACTATCAGATTTTTTTCAGGGCCACTTATTTTAAATCAAATATTATTTTTTACCAACGATTTTTAGCAGTAATTTTTTATGAAATCCTACCTTGACAGAATGTATGATTCAAAGGGTGTGTGTGTGTGATGTAAGGTGAGGGCTAACAAGTGTGCTAAACACACGCTGCCCTGCAACCTGATAAACTGAATATAACTTTATAAAATGATTACAAGTTTGCATCAGGAGTGCCGGGGGGGCTTTTGATTCTGGAAATAATACTCCGCCCACTCCCCTGGTCTGGGAAAATCTCATATAGCCTAAAAGACATGGGAGGAGAGGTTAAAAAAAAAAAAAAGAAAGACTCAGAGCACTCTTGCCAGACTAAAAATATTTAGCAAGACCCTTGTCGGACAAAACAAAATTGTACCACAGTTATCTTTAAAATGGTCATATAATAGAATCTTTACAGGTTTTGATGTTATACATATAAAAGCAAATAACATTTTAACCAGATAATGTCTTAAATTCAATTGTTTTCAATTTTTATTCTGTTCATATGAATTTATTTATTCTGAATTTATTCTGTTTATTGTTGAATTATGAATTTTTATTTTGTCTATTCACCAAACTGTCAATTTTTCCGTAAATATTCAATATTGAAATTAACATTAATGCCATGGCACACCTAGCAAACACTTTTGGCATCCAACTTGAGAGCTCCTATTGTTGAAAAGTGGTTAAAATCACAAGCAGCTATGTTTAGACCCTCCCTGTTCATTGCAACCAATAGCTAACAGTTTAAAGGATCTTCAATTATATCCCTTATTTTTACATTATACATTTTAATATTTTATGGAACCAGAGATTTGTTATGTTTTTAACCGGTTGTTCTTTATACCCAATGTTTTTATAAACAATTTTGACTTAAAGTAATAAGTAACAATTTTGACTTTTATAATGTTGATTATTCTTGCATTGCTCTTAGTTGAGTATTCTTACTTTTTCAGACTGTGCGTGCTTTGAATTATTTAAAAGAACATTTGAAGATAATTCATAGAGATGTTAAACCAAGCAACATTCTTCTTGATAGAAGAGGAAATATTAAATTGTGTGACTTTGGAATTTCAGGGCAACTAGTTGATTCCATTGCAAAATCTAGTGATGCAGGTTGTAGACCCTATATGGCGGTAATTATTTGCGTTAATATTTTTATTTTCTTGTATTTAAGTATTGACTTTTAAAAATGTTGTGATGCTAAAGTAAAATTAACTATTATTAAATTCCAAGTGCTAATTTTGTTTACTCAAGATTAAAACAATAGAGTGTAAAAAGAAAATTAATATTTGTTTTAAGTGATTGGTATAGTATATGTACCTTTAAAAATAATTATTTACCTATAACATTCTCATTTAGCACTGATAGCTATGAACTATTGAAACACATATTTAACTCTCGTGAATTATTTTCGGCTTTTGTTATCATATGAGCTGTAATCAGTTTGCTTAGTATTAAGTACTGATTTCAAATGTTCTCATGTTGTATCTTTTTTTCTATCAAATTCTGTTATTCTTAAGAGATTTTGTCCCAATATAAAGAAATTATTTATTTAAAAAGGTAATTGTTTATTTTAATTTTTCATACTAGCCTGAGAGAATAGACCCGCAGAGAACCAAGAGTGGTTATGACGTTCGTTCAGATGTCTGGTCGTTGGGAATCACTCTGATGGAAGTGGCAACAGGCAGATTTCCCTACCCCAAGTGGAAGTCAGTGTTTGATCAACTTTATCAAGTGGTGAATGGCAGAGCACCCTCGTTATCTCCTGCCTATCAGAACCGGTTTTCTGAAAACTTTATCTCATTTGTTGATACATGGTAAGTAACAATTAATGAAACTTACATATGATTTAATAATGTTAGTTTATTGTATATTTATTTATATAATTTTTTTTTTTAGCTTGATTAAAGAAGAAAACCGAAGACCCAAGTATAATGGACTCTTGGAACATCCATTTATAAGACAAAGTGAACAAGCTCAAGTTAATACTGCTGGTTATTTCTCAGAAATTTTAGACAATATGGCTCTGAATGGAGCTTTTTTATCTACTGCTGATCAACCTTGATTAGATTTTAATACCCACAGGGCTTTCATATGGTTTTTTTTAAACCATAACTGTAAAAAATATATATATTTATTTTATTTTCATGTTTTAAGTTATTTGTTCTCACTCCATCAACATAAAGTGAGAACAATTACTTATTACCACTTATCTAAGTTGAGGTTTTTCTTCTTTTTTTTTTTTTATATTTTAATGTTTAAATAAAAATTTGATTTTTAAATAAAATATATTTTGGTTTTAAATGTCTTTGATAGCACCAATATGTGCCTATTGTTAATTATTTGTTATTGAATGTTGACTTTGAAATGTCTTGCTAAATAAGTATTGTATATAGAAATTATAGCATTGTTGATTGAGAAATTGTTAACATAGTTTTACATTTATACAACACCAAGTTTGAGAATGTAAATGTGTTATATTGAAGAGATTATAATATAATATCTTTGAAATGTTACAAACGTTTTTTACTTAACTTGTCCTATTTTTTTCTGTGATTTCTGTTTGAGCTTTTTTAATTTGATACCAATCAGGTATAGTTAAAATAAATATGTCTGTTCATACTTATTAATTTTGATGAAGTGAACAAGTTATTTAATGCCACATGTGGATGATTCTCATTTTAGGAAGTCCAATAATAAGTTTAAGTCTAACTTGATTTTTTTTTCCCCACTACTATATGGCGAAGAAGTATCTCTTTATAATGAAATTATGAAATTATTATTTAAACATTAAAGAATAATGTGATTTTATAATTACTTTAGCAACTAAAATGTCATTACTACGTGTTGTATTATCTCGCTACCTGTTCAAATTATTTCGCTCATTATAATTTACTTTCGACTATGGTTTGTAGCAAGTCAGTTGGAAAAAACAAAAATTTTAATACTGATTACACAGCGGTTTTGGCCGAATAAAATACAAGAATATGTCATTACCCAGTTGAAAACTAATGTCATTGACACACGTGAATTATTAGCTTTACTTACATTAATTACTGAACAAAAAACACTTTTGATCATGGTCCTTTGCTTAGATTAACAGTTGAGGGCAAAAGAAATGTAGTTATTTAGAAAATTATATTTAAATGCCGTCAAAAATATTAAAATTTTATCAGGAAAATTGCCCATAATCTGAGAACCACCCATGTATCTGGATCTAGAACTTCATTCAGTCAGTAAGCTTAAATCATAAACCCAAAAAGTGAGAGGGTAAGACACACTATTCTGTTTGTACTGGTGATGGAACTATATATAAAGCAGACCTGGGCTATAATTATTTCAATTATTATTTAAAATATCAAGTATTTTGTGTTTTAAAAATAAATTGTATTTTAATTACAAAGTATTTAAATTATATTTCAACTACAAAATAGTAAAATTATTTTATCTTAATTACAGAAATCATTCCCGAGAGTAGAAAAATTCAAATACCTCTGCTCCACAATAACCTCAATGAATGACCAACGGGCAGAAATAGACCAGTGTATATGACTAGCGCAAACAGAGCTTTCTTCTCCCTCTCTATTGAAATTCTCTCCCGAAGGTATTGAAATTCCTAAAAATCTCAAACTAAGGGTGTGCAATGCTATGATAAAGCCAGTTCTAATATATGGCTGTGAGACCTGGACACTGACCAGCACCCTAGAAAAAATTGTTGAAAGATTTGAGAGGAAAATCCTCCGCACGATAACTGGAGCGATCTGGGATCAGAGTACTAACACATGGAGAAGAAAGACCAATAAGAAACTGCTTACAGAAACGGGTCAATCAATATCCCATGATATCAAGGCATGAAGGTCAAGATGGATGAGGCTTGTACCTTGTAGCAATCTATCTAGAAGAAGGATCTACGTAACAATGAATGCCTCAATAGAAGGCATAAGACCACGTGGACCAAAAAGCATATGAATAGACAGAATCAATAAAGATGCAACAGAGCTGCGTGCAGATAAATAAATGGAAAGAAATAGCCCAAGACAGGTAGAGATAGAGCAGGCTTGTTAAGGTGGTAAAAGATGTACATGGTTTGTAACGCAAAAAAAAAAAAAAATTACAAAAAACAAAATACTTCCTGACGTAATAACATAAAAGTAATCTTTACCATTAACAGAAAAATTAAATTGTCCTGCATATAATTGGATCAAATAGTAGTAACTAGAAGGAATAAATACATAATCATCTAGAGAACAATAGCTATATAGTAAAAAGTAAACACTGACTTCCTATTTATCTTCGGAAGTGAGTCTTTTAGAGAATAAAAAGAAATATAATATATTGCTTAGATTATCAAGGTGTTTCTTCAGTTAATATAATTTTTATGATGGTGATAATTGGTTATCTTGCAATGCTACAGAAATCAACAGTTCTGAAATTTAAAAATTAAATGGTTTCCTTTTAACTAAAAAAAAAAATTGACTTTTGTTTATATATCATCTGATTCACTTTGCAACATTTTGGGACTATTTTATTTAAAAACTAACAAATAAATTTCTCAATAATAATTAATTTTAAACATATTTAATAGAACAGGAAAGAAAAAATTAAACTCATTGATATCAAACCAAAACTTTTTTTAAAGCTGTGCAATATCAAGTCTTGTTGGGATAGATATCTAAAAAATATACTCCAATAATATAATATCATTTTCAGAGCAACCTCTTCTTTCATCAAACAAGCGTTCATTTTAAAAGACATTCAATTTCCTTGCGAAAATAAAAAATATGGAGGTACCAAATAATGGAATATAAATAATATAACAAAATAAATACCTCAGCTATCAAAAGATTTTTATTAAAAAATTGCAGGTTGAAACCATAAAATGTTTCGACCCTCACATTCCAGCTGTAGTATATTAACCGGATTTTGTACAACAAAGCCCTGTGGTGGATTTTAGTTTAATTTTAATACATTTACTAACCATTAGTTGCCAGCTCAATGGTGAACTCATGTAGCAGTAAGTTGAAACTCGCATTTGGTTTTACATTGAATTAATACAAAATATTTATAAATATAATTTCTAGTGGAAGATAATTTAATCTTCTAGTTTGTGAATATTTTTGTAAATATTGTATAAATTATGTCATACGGTCAAGGTACAAAAAAAAGTAAGTTTCAACTTAGTGAGTTCCTTCTCGGATTCCCAACAAATAATGTTCGAGCTATAGTAAATGTTTATCGCATGAATACGAACTAACTGCACACTCATGAATATGAACTAACTGAAACAATTGGGATTGATGGTTGAGGTAAAAAATTAATAGTTTAAAATAGCAATGTACAAATTTGTCAATATTTATTTTTAAAAATCTATACATCATACCTAACAAAATTTTTACAATAAATATTTATAAACAAGTTTCATTAAACTTAATCACATATATACAAACATTGATTTAAAATAATTTTAAACATAACAGAACATTATGGATGGAAATAGATAAATTAAAATTTTCAATTTGGCAATCTAAACAAAACAAATCATGGCATTCTGATATTTGGAAAAAGGATAACTCAATACTTTAAATACATTTATAAATACAAATGAAAATTCGTACAACTGTTAACTAAGATACTTATAATAATTATTTTTTCATTCAGAGTAAATATGGCATAAGGTCCTATTTAAAGTATCAGTTTGTTTTATTAAACTATAGAGAAAAGTAAGACCATTATAGCAGAAATATCAAATATAACAGAAAATATTAAAGAGGAGGAAAGCTATATACATAAACAATATAATGTACAATCTTTCAGACTGAATCAGAAAGTAACAATGAATTACCTTGATTAAAAAAACTGCACAATAAAATGTTGAGTGCATGCATGTTTGGAATCAATTAGAATTGCTGCCATGTACTTAAAATCAATACCCTCATATTTCTTTAGGATGAATAAAAATAAATTAACAACAATATCCTAAAAAGTGAGAAATGAAAAATACATAGGTAACAAACTTTACCTAATTTTGTTTAAAAAGTAAAAAAAGTTGGCAATTACAAATAATAATTTGCTTCTATAAAATTTAAGGGAGAAAATTCAACAGTGGAGCTCTTGAAATAGTCTTCATCCCATGATTCCATGAAGAATGATCTTCCATCATTCCATTCCATTTATGTATATCTTTGCTTTGGTGGGTTGAAGTTGTAAGGCCTCTTCTCTCTTTGCTGGTTATCATTGCGTCTAAAACCACCTCCTCCATCTCGTTTTCGTGGCCTTATACCTTTAAAACTGTTAATATCTAAGGATGGCGCTAAGGAAATAATCATTAAATTATTCTACCACAAGAACAGATTAATAATATATTGGCACAAAAACTGTTATAAATTAATTTAAGAATCTACCACAAAAATAAATGATAAAATAATTGAAGAAAATGTATTTGACTCTGCGAAAGCCAGTTTTTTTAATATCAATGTGTATTGATTTAATTATTTACGAGTAATCGATATAGTTAGTGAAATATAATTAATATTATGTATTATTATCACTTCAGTGTAACATAAAAATATTTTAAAATAACTGATCTACACAAGACTCCTTTCACATATCCATTTTATATATATATATATATATATATATATATATATATATATATATATATATATATATATATATATATATATATATATATATATATATATATATATATATATATATATATAATCTTTGTTTTATTATTATTTCACTTATTAAAAGCCAATGGTAGGGCTCTCACTTATTTTTGTGAGATCAAGAAATAAATAGGAGCCCATCTCTGTCTGTTAGTTCATGTTACAGATATATTACGTACGACCACTAATTTTATTTTTATTAAATTTTCAAGAATTGTATGGGTTTGTATCTAGATGTGTCCTTTATTAATTCCATTAATTATTTAAATTAATTTTTAATTATTTAATTAATTTTATCTAACTATATCTAACAATTTAATTTAGGAAGATATATTGACCTACTTGTAACAATTTTTTTATCCTTAATATAATTTAATCAAAGACAAGCTCTTTTATTTTTGAATTGATGAAGCTCTTTTATTTTTGAATTGATGAAACAAAATCTGCAAGACTTTCAGTCAAGATGTTTTTATTGGGTTGCCGACGTTTCGACCCAAACATGTGGGTCATCTTCAAGGCTATCATTTGGAAGTTGAGACAAGAACTGTGTGGGTTGAACGTCGGCTAACCCATTAAAAATATCTTGACTGAAAGTCCTGAAAATTTTGTTTCATCCATCTGCATTGATCAGTTGACTATTTACCCGTCTCTATTATTTTTATAAATTTTCATTAACCTGTTATTAAAGTATGCTGTTACTTCGGAATTTCTTATAATTCTCTAAACTACTGCTACATATCCTATATATCAAAATGTTCTATAAATAAGTCTGAATTCATCTACTGAGTTAATTTCATTTCATTCCAATTTTTTTTTCTTTCCGTTTTATTTTTTTTTTTTCCTTATCCATTAAACCTCTATAATTTTCAATGAAAATAATCAAAATGTCGTTGTATGAATGATAGGAATTAAAAGTAATAGAAATGTCTTATATATCACTACTCTTAATGCAAAATATTTCTTTATGATTTATTAGTAATATTTCATATTTCATTTTCCTATGCATTTCATTTCACATAGTAGCAGACTACTTATTGCAATTACAGATTATATAATGTCATATTTAGCCTAAACAGAATAACATGTAAAATTGTTACATACGACTTTTTGCACTAACTTTAGTGATATTCACAGCCCAGTCAAAAAATAGTAAATACATATACACTTAGGCAATCCTCAAAATTTTAATCAGGATGAGGAAATCAGGTTATAAATAATTCTACATATAATATGTAATGCCTAAGCATAAGATCGAAATTTTACTAAAAAAGGATACTCAAATCAACTCTTGGAGGAACTGTCAATCCAAATGTTTTTGCCAGCTTCGTCAAGTCAAGAGAATTGATATCAAAAACTTTCTTAAGGTGATGAGAATCATATGATCTGACACAGGACTTGAAGGCATCCTTAGCAGCAAGATTGAGTGCATAATTGGTACCTACTAGCTTCTCAAGCTGCAAACATAAATTCAGGCATTTAATAGTTTAATTTTAACATGCACACCATCATAAATGAGAAACTTAAGCCAAGAAAATAAATAAGACACATAAGAGCTGTAAAGATATTGTAATTATAGTGTTTTACGCACAGTAATGCTCAAAAAGTGGGATTTGGCTATGTCTAGAACACAGCCTTGCAGTTAACATGAATTTGATAGAATATTATTCCTTGGAGAATTTATAATCATATTTTTTTAAACACTGAGAAGTGCTTTGAATCTCTAGTATTTAATTTATGACTGGAAAGGATCAAATAAAATAATGAGAACTCATACGTGTCTCCTAAATCACGATGTTTAGGCTTAACTCATTCCTAAGAAGGAAATAGGACTCATTCAGCCACTATTCTACGACTGCAAGCCCATCAGTGGTTTCTGCACAAGCCAACTCGATAGCCCTGGGTTCACCAGCGGTCATCCTTGATACTTAGTTTCCATGCCATCTTCACTCACGAAGAGAATTTTTCTAAATATTCCAGTATTCTGGAAGGATTTGATAACTATGTGGTGGTTCCCGCCATTTGCTACAAGGGACAACTAGTTAACCTGCTTGCTACCTGGTGGCGCCACACAAGCTTGCTCGTGCAATGTACCAAAAAATGTATATTTTATTTCTTATTATATGATAAAATTGTAAATTGAAATATATATATATACATTTTAAATACTTTTTATTAATAAAGTTTAATGGCAATAACATATACTGATCAAAGCTTAAAAATAACTGTAATTGTAACGGCTCTTGATAGGCGATTTAGTCATAGCTGAATGAATGACCGCAGTCTTTTTTCAAAGTTGTAAGTGTCCTTTGGAGTAAAGACCTTATAAGCAAATGATCAGTATGACACTTTAGGTCATCTATCTACTCATCTTCCTCCATCCACTTTTTCACGTCATCACGTAATTTTACCCAATAACTTGAATAAGCTCTATTGAGGCCTTCTGGTAACAGAATCCTCTGTACTATACCCCTGACAACTAGAATCTGATGAAGAAATACCATTAAGGAATACCTTTCACCACCTAAAAATTTAGTATTTAAAGTTTAGGTAGATAAACACAGTTGTGCTTGTATTAATTAGTCAATACACATCACTGGTGAGGATATGATGTTGATCAAACATCAGATAGAAGTTGATTAGGGGTGCAGTATAAGATGAAAATATACACAAAGAGGCTTTATTTCCTTGAGTGCCGACATTTTGGCCTTCATCAGGTCTAAATACAGACAATTCAGATATAACTATCAAACCTGCCGCCTCCGTAACGTAGATATGCTGTACGTAATATAGATAGTCTCCTAGTGTCTTTGCAAGATACTTTTTTTTAGAATAGAATAGAAAATTGAACTTTATTGTGGGACTAAATCCCCTTAGAATAACAATGACCAAATACAGAGGAATCTACAAATCTCAGCAAAAACTAACTTCTTACAATTCTAACATTATATACATTAATTTAAAAAATAGCATGTAACCACTAAAAACAACAACAACAAAACAAATGAACATATAATCTTCTCAAAAATATTTATCATTGTGAAAGAAAGAAAAAAAAACAAGAAATTAGATATTTACATATACCTAACTACACAATTTATAAACAATAGGTTAAGTAATAAAAAACTAATTTAATACAATATGTAATAATATCTACAGTGACTTACATAATAATATGCAAACACTAAAAGAAAGAAAAATAAAATCTTCTCAGGAATACTTGCAGTGTAAAGGAAGCAAATAAACAAATATATATACATACATACACATATTGGTACACAGAGAGATACTTATTAATGTAGTTCTAGAATTAAGTTGAATATGGGTGTGTATTGAGTGAAAAATGAAAATAGCAACAGTAAAATATAAATAATTGTTGCCATCTTCATTAGCACTACCTAACCTTACTGCAGTCTCAGATGATAAAAAGATTCCTATGGTCTAGGGGCTAGGAAACCTGGCTTGGATTCAATTTCCGGTACCAGAATTACTTTTTTTTGAGGAGCGAGGTGGCCAAGCGAACTAAAATACCAACCTAATAAAATGAATATTACAAGTTCAAATCCCAGTGCGGTGGGGATTTTTAATTCTGGTGCAATTCCCTCATCCTCTTCCCTGCTCCCAGGAAAAACACTGTATAAATAAAAATGCGAGGAAGGAGAGAAAAAAAAAGTCTAAATATAAAAAAAATATAATAAGAACTTATTGGAATAAGAACCACTTCAAAATAATACTTTTACATCCATAACAAAAGAAGCTACGTCATAAAAACATCCATTATGTTCAATATTAAAATATTAAATACATGAAAGCTGTATTAGAAATAAAATTACAAAGAACCGTTAAGATTAAAAAAACAAAACAAATAAAAAGAACCCAAAGTTGTAATGTCTCATAAGATTCAGACTCAAGATGACAGCAAAAATCAACAAATATAAAAATAGGAATAGACAACATAGAATAATGAAATAAGGATGGGAAAAGAGACATAAAATAAAAATCTCACCTGTAACTGTATATCCGAAACTTTATTCCAATTGAAGTCAAATTCATTTAAAGGAACTTTCGCATGTTTAAGGTAATAAAGGAATGAGAGTTCCTCTGGCCTCAACAGTAGTAATGCATGACCGCTCCCACCTTCACCACGAGCTGTTCTTCCAACCCGATGGATATATTCCTGAAAAAATTAAATTAAATTTTATGACTGTACTTTAATAATTATGAACACTGAAATAATTTAATAATTATATTATTATTATTTTTTTTTGTATAGCCTGTTTTTACAAGTATTACACCTGTAGGCCTCCCCAATTAAGAGGGTAATGGTCTAACTTCCCGCGGGGACCAGCCGTATTGGGAAGTAGGACCGGGATTCAAATTATATTATTAAACACTGAATAATTAGTTTAAACACACTGTACTATAAAAGATTAAGCAAGCACTTTCTATTGGTTACAGAAAGTGCCATATGTTACTGCAGTAATATTAATATATATTTTAAGCTGAAAATTTACTTGTAACTTATAGTTAAGTTGGGTAAGAATTAGAAAGAATTTCACTAGAAAAACTTGAATTTTCATTAAAAATAATCCAGAAATTGACAAGAATGAGAGGTAGGGGGGACAAAGACTGGAAAAAGATTTGGACTATTTTTTTTGGATTTGGAGGACCTTCTTTAAAATAAATAATTTAAATGATATCACTATGATTGATGTTTAAAACAAAAACTCCAAGTGAAATCTTGTGAAAGTTTAGTTGTTTATATCGTGATTTTGCCTGATATTATATCAAGTTTCATTTTTATGTTTTTCAAAAATCAGTTTCTACTAACAGTTATACTGCATTGTTTTTGTATTGTTGTTTAGTCTGATTCTTTATCTATGATTTTCTCATCAAACTCTATCCAAGTTTTATCAGCGTATTTATTCGTTTTTTAAGTTTCATCATAACTTAAAAACTGTGCGTATCCATTGAAACAATGTTCATATGAGGTAAATTAAAAATAATAATAATAATAATAATAAAGATAGTGGCTATTTGACATGGCAGCTGGCTTTACTAAAGTTATTTGTAGAGATGAGAGACAATTTTTCAAAATACTATTTTGATATACAGTATTCATTTGACCGCACATCCCAACCAACTCCTTCTCATATTATCATCAAGGTCAACCATCTCTACACTATTAAAAATTAAAATATTTCTGAATACATAAAAAGTAATTTTAATAAGGAAATGAGTACTACCAATAAATATTCAGTATTCAGATTTTAGCCACATGTACAAAATATTTAAATAAAAAATATTAATAATAATAATTTCATTGGAACCTTGGGATCATCTGGTGGATCATATTGAACAATCCAATCAACTGCTGGGATATCTAAACCTCTGGCTGCCACGTCCGTGCACAACAAGATACCTGTTTCAGCACTGCAGAATTTAAAGAAAGTAGTAGTTCTCTTCTTCTGTTCTTGTTTACCCTAAAAAAAAAATTAACTTGTAAATCATACAATGTTAATAGGTGTAAAATATATAAATCAGGTTTATATGCAATAATTTTTTTTCAAAGCTTGTTCATTCTGTAGGTATTACAGGTAGGTATGAGTGTCTCATCCAAATCAATTTGTATTTGAATATATAAGTAAAGCATTCATAGATAAAATCATACTTACATGAATACTCATAACTGGAAGATCAATATAGTTTAATAACATATCATGAAACTTCACAGACAGGCAAGAACTAAAAAACACCATAATTTTCTTTTTACGGTTTTTTTTAAGGAAAGTAAATAATAACAAAAATCTCTTTTCGGGAGGGCAAACAACATAACCTGAAACAAAAGAATTTTTTTAAGAATATATTTGTGTGAATTGTTAATTCATATTTCAGAATTTTAATTAGTAAATGACCTTGTTCTAATCCCTCAACTGTAGCCTTATCAAATGAATCATGGACCCCGACATAGACAGGCTCTGTTTTAACAGCTAGGCGAGTTAAATCTTCCGTTTTCCTAGTCGAAGTTGCAGAAAACAGCATTGTCAATCGCTTTTCTAAAATAATTAGAAAATCACAATATCACTCAATCAAATACAGAAAAGTTTAAACAAACAAATGAATATAATGACAAAATATTTTAATTATAATAATTTATTAATAATTATAAACAAATACTCTATAAAAAATTTATTCTGCATACAGAATAGTGAAAAAAAGAGAAAGGAATAGAATTTCAATATATTTTAATTATAATAATTATAAACAAATAATCTATAAAAAATGTATTCTGTTGAATTAATATTTATAACTGTCACTGTCAAGATCATAGAAAGAAATTTTACTTTCTAAACTATCTAAGCTAACAAAAATATAAAAGTTGCTTGAAAAAGAAATAATCAATAAAAACATAGTTCATAAATTCTTATAAAAGAATCCAATTGAAGTATGTAATAGCAGAATAAAAATGTACATAATTAACTTTATAGAGATTAGTTTCACCAAAAACTTAAAAGAACAAGTGATTTTACAAAATAAAATAATTACACAGAAATTGCTAGGTATGAATTAAATATAGGAGAATGCAGTATAGTAATCAATCATGGTAAACAGTTTTAGATGTTTAATGCAAGCAGACATTTCAGTCTTCATCAGGGCAAAAAGAGGTATATTATTTGATGTATATGCGATGAAGTAGGTCGAAACATTTGAACATATTAGACAATTAATATTTTTTTAATGTATTTTATTAAACCAACCCTCTTCTCCTAATAAAATAAACTTTTCTTACTTGGCAAAAGGTTGATGATCTGTTTCATTTCAATCTCGAAACCAATTTCTAAAATTCTGTCCGCTTCATCGATTATGAGACACATCAGATTTTTGTACATAAAGCCTGGAGTATTTTGTAAATGATCAACAAGACGTCCTGGAGTTGCTACCAATATATTAATACCTAAACACAACATAAAGAAAATTTATAGAATACAGTAGAATTATAATTTTGTTTTCGTTACAACAATAAAAGATTGTCACTAAAAAAATAAACAGATTAATATTAATCATAAATGGGAAAAATTAACAGGTAATCACCTAAAAGCAATGTAAGTTATTAAGATAATTTTTTTTAGAAACAGTTAAACTAATAGAGAAAAAAAACATTCCTTTTATTAAACTAACCACTTTTGCCAAATCAGAGAGACCATTATCTTACTCAGAGAAATAATACAAGCTCAAAAGCTATACCTCCAATACTTAACTGAATGGAAACTTTCAAACTCTAAAATGAGGTGAAAAGAAAAAAAATCACATCTGATTGAAAAATATAATGATACTTCCAAGTAAGGGTATTTTTCAACAGCAAATCAATCTTTATACAAAAAAAAAAGGTATTCAAAGAAAAAGGTTGTGCCATTAATATCAAGGTATCCTTATTCATTTTTTAAATAAATTAATATATATATATATATATATATATATATATATATATAATATATATATATATATATATATATATATTAATTAATTAAATATTTTAAACTTACCATTCTGTAGTTTATTTGCTTCAGTTTCTCGATGAGCACCACCCATTACGAGTCCATATGTGTTTCGATGATACTTCATTAGTTCCTGAAGAACACCAAAAGTTTGCATGGCTAACTCTCTTGTGGGCGATATAATTATACAGCCAGTCCCTACCAACAAAAAAGAATACACAGATTTGCACCAATGTTATAATGTGGTATAACAGAATGGTTTATTATTATCCAATAATAGGGTGTATAAAAAAAAACTGATCATTTTATCAAATTCAAGATTTCAAACGATTGTAAATATTTTAATCGTATTTAATGCTTAATAATCACTTTAGAGCATTCTCTAAGCTTATTTAATCCCGTTTGACTTTTTTTAAAAAAAAGCCTCTGTTCAGAAATTTGTTTCAAAAAAGAAATATGACAGTGTCCAACAAAATTCTCTTAATTTTAAGGCATTACTGGAAAAAAATGTCACATGTGCTGAAGCAGCTTGTGAAATTATTAAATATGAAAAGGAAGGTGTCCTTGACCAGCGCACTGGGCGGTGTTGGTTTGAAAAATTTAGGAGTGAAGATACGATGTTGGAAAGGAAGAAGGGCTCCAGGCAACCATCAATGGATATTGATGAGATTCCGCAGGAAGCTGTTTAGTCAAATCCATCCAGAAGTGTTCGCGAACTTGCCAGGGATTGTGGTGTGTCGAAAGATACTGTTAGCCGCCATCTACTCTCCATAGAGAAGGTGAAAAAGAGCGGTAGACTGGTCCCTCACGAACTTACTCCTCAGCAATCAGCTAGGAGGTTAGAAAGTTGTGAAAATTAATTGAAAAATCCTTCTGATATGAGATTTTACTGGAAGATCGTCACTTGTAATCAAAAGTGGGTTTACAGGCAAAATCTGAATACAATGACTAGATCTCGATCAAATTGCTTTTCCGGAAGCTGCAAGGGGCAGACAATTTTTAAAAAAAATCAATGCTCTGTGTTTGTTGGAATTTTGGAGGTGTTATTCATCACAAATTTGTTCCTGATCGATGCTCTATGAATTATTAGCTTTACTGGAAACACCTGCAAAGATTGCACGCAAAGTTGTCAGAGCGTAATTCTGCTTTGATTAACCAAAAAGAAATTTTATTCCAACAAAAGAAAAGTTTAAAGAACTTTATGGGTTCGAACTCCTGCCTCATCCACCATATAGTCCAGACCTTACCCCATCGGATTACAACTTATTTAGATCCTTGGCCCATTTTCTTCAAGGAAAAAAATTTGATAATTTTGCAGAAGTTGAAATTGCAGTCCAAGAGTTCTTTGACAGCTATGGGATCGAGCAATTGGCTAGCAGATGGCTAATGATGGTAGATAACAATAAATTATACTTTGAGTATTAATTGTATTTTATATCAAAGAAATAATAATATAAATATTTGGTTGAAAAACAGTCATTTTTTTTTTTTATACACCCTGTTAGTTATAAATCAGATATCTGTGATGTGTTCCCATATATAACTTTCCTTACCAGAGAAGGAAAAATAAGATAGGATTTAGATTTAATTTTTTTTTTTTTTATAGTTATCTATGACGGCTATTAAAAAAAAATACAAATGAGCACCAGCCATTTTCTAGTAGATTTCTAGTTCTCGAGCTATCAAAAAATAAAACAAAGGAGATCAAATTCCTATTGGAACATGTGCACCAAGTTCCAAACACCATAGCTCAGCAACAAAAGGTTCGATTTCAATGATTATATATTTTTTTTATAGAGAATATCTTAATCCTTATAATATCCTATAAGTCTGTAAAAAACATAGGTTTTCCCATCACTGTCTTGAAACAAAATGGCAGATGGCAATGGGGCTCTGAGATGTACCTCTCCAACACAAATTTAATTTACATACAGAACATTAGCCTTATAACTTAATTTGGAGAGGCTGTAGAAGAGCGCAATACTTTAAAAACAGGGTAGAAATGTGAAAAACCATTTGGATGTGGCAAAAATTGGAAAAAAATTATTATTTTAAGTGTTACAAAACGGAAAGTAACAGTATCCCCCAACCTGCTATCAATGACCTTCGGTACAGTGCAATATAAAATAAAATAATAGTATAATTTAGCAAGACTATTTTATAAATTTTATGATTAAAAACTTACCATTTCTAGGCTTAAACTTCAATTTCAAAATCATCTCAACTGCAGGGATAAGGAAAGCTAATGTTTTCCCAGAACCTGTTTTGGCATTTCCAACTAGATCTCTACCTTCTAAAAGAGGTGGTATAGCTTTAGCCTGTATTTCAGTCATTTGGGTGAATCCCATGTCTTCAATGGCTTTCAATGTTTCTTCCGATACCTTTCCTTTCAGTGCACTGAAGCTTGCATTACTTAAAATTTCTAAGCCCAGCTGACTACCTGGTACTAAAATTAATAATATAATAATAATAATTCTAATATAATTTCATATGAAGAATGGAATAATTAATATATATATATATGAATGTTCCAGAGAAGGTTCATTAACTTAAGTATTTATTCTATAAAATTTTATCATAAAAATTAAAAACTTAAATTTCAAAGTTTTAAAATAAGTTATATAAAAACATCAACAAAAAATTTTTTTTTTTCTGATGGTATTACAGACCACGTAGATCTTTTGCCACTTTAACAAGCCTACTCCACCTTTGCCTGCCTTGGGCTATTTCTTTCCATTTATCTGCACACAGCTCTACTGCATATTTGTTGATTCTGTCTATCCATCTGCTTTTCGGCATTCCACGTGGTCTTTTGCTTTCTATTGATACGTAGAGGCTTTCAGATAAATTGCTATGAGCTACATACCTCGATCATCTTAGCTTCCATGCCTTCATATCATGACTTCAATATTGTACGAATCTGTGTTCCCCTCTTCAGCAATATTTTATTCTCCCAAAAAATTTTGTTTAGTAGGATATTGGTCATTATCTTGTAGGCAACTGGAAGAAGTTTGCAATCTTTCTTTGAGGAATCCTCTTTTTGCCGATCTTATAGTTTTGTTTGCCTTTTTCTTGGCAGCTCTGTACTTGTCCTGAGCGACTTGATCAGTTGTAGTTAGGCAGAAGACTTTCATTTTTCTTCTTTTCTCTACTGCCTTTTCGCATGCTTCTGTGAACCATATCTTAACTTTTCATTTCGCCTGAATACCGATCACTTTCCTAGCTGTTTCTTTTAGTCCCTTCTTTATTTTCTCCCAGTGTTGGTTCACCGTGAGACTATCCGAATCTAAGAGTTCGAATTTATTTTTCAGCTCAAGTTTACTTCAGGATTTTTCAATTACGGACTTCATACCTCTTTCTTTCCACTCGATCGAGTTGTGTGAATTCGCTTCAATCTCTGACATAGTTTAATTCTAATCAGAGAGTGGTCCGAATCACAGTCTTCTAGAGCAGTCTGCAGGGATGAGCAATATTTATTTTGTGATGAGCCCCTAACAATTTTTAAAATGTTGTCCAGGCTGCATTAAAAACATTATAATGATACAAATACTGAGTAATAAACTCAAATTGTTCCTTTACTAATAAAATAAGACACATAAAATATGACAAACCTAAAACAGTGAGAAATAAATTTTATATTTAACGAGAAATTTGAAAATACTTCTTGGCTGCCAATTGATGTATATTTTTAGATCTACAGAGGACTGAAATTTAAAAATAAAATTCATATTTTACATAAATTAAATCTAAAAAAAATAATTAGGTAAACAATATTTTGTTGAATTAGTTGGTTTGAACCAGAACTTACATCTGCTTCCAAGCTCTAGATTATGAGGAGCAGAGTCTGCCCCTTCCATGTCTTCCTCTTCAGTTTTATGCTCCGAATTTTCAATACTTTCTTCACTTTTCGCTTCATCAGGTATTTCACATTCATTGTTTTTTGAGTCACTATTATTATCTGATTCTGAATCACAATTTTTGTCTTTATTGTTAATACTAGATACCAACTTCTTTTTTTTCTCTGAAAAATAAAAAGTTTTCATGTCCAGCATGTTTTAAAATTTATCTTAAAAAATAAGCAGTGATATATGATGTAAAATCTACATTATTTTCTAAACTTCAATCATACCAGCTATCAAACATATTTTAACAACCTTTGAGAAACATTAATAAACAACAGTATAATACATCTGATTAATTACGTAATACAGTGGAACTTGTTTTATTTAATATTAAAGATATTTTTTATTACTCAAATTAATCAAGATTATAAGTTAAACAAGTTATCATACAATATGTAACTCTTTTAACAATAAACTTGCTAATATTTACAATTTCATTTTTCTTGATTAATAACTTGCTTTGCAATTATATAAGATATATGTATTTATACTTCTCTTATAAATGAGAATAAAATAATATATTGTAAAATAGTTTTTTTTAAATAATAAAAGGCTTAGCGAACCCGAAGATTTGATGACGACACCACCAATCGCCTCTTACACACCTCCCTCCACCGTTCGCCGTCCAAACCTAGTCCCTTCAGATCATCTGTAATGGAATCTTCCCACCTTCGCTTCAGTCTACCTCACGGACGTTTACCATTCGGTACAGCAAATATTAACCTTTTAGGAATTCTCTCGTTACTAAGCCCAACAATTTTACAAGCCCATTTGATTCGCCAGGATGAAATCATCTCAATTATATTACCCGGATACAGTTCACGCAATTTGACGTTGTGTAACCGTCTGAACTCTCCGGTTAATTCATTCTTCTTCGGTCCGAATATTCTACGCAATACTTTATTTTCAAAAACCTCAAGACGTTGCTCATCCCTTAATGTAAGCGGCCACGTTTCGCAACCATAAAGAACTGTAGATAAGACAATGGACATGAGGTAAGTAGTTTTGTCACAGAAAAATAACAACCATTTCCCGCCTTCAGTCTAACCTTAATCTCTTCTTCAATTTCGTTTTTTTCTGGTTATCGTAGACCCTAGATACCTAAACTTCTCTACCTGTTCAAACATATTACCATCTATATCGATATTACCTGTAGTATGGCCATTTTTGCAGCTAACCATATATTTTGTTTTATCCGCATTTATGTCAAGTCCTAGTTCTTTACCAGCTTTCATTAACGTTGTCATATTTAATTTTATAGTTTTCACGTCTTCGCTTAACAGTACCAGATCATCAGCATAACCCAGCACGGGTGTTGTCCCACCCAGATCCAACCCTTTTTTTGTACTCTACCTCCCTATATACCTCCCTATATATATGTACCTCCCTAATGGCATGTTCTAATGCCAAATTGAACAGGACAGACGAAAGGGAATCCTCCTGTTTTAAACCTGAACGAACCTCAAACTTTTTGTACATATTATTACCGATTTTAACTTTATTGAGTGTTTCCGTCAAGCACATCCTGACTAGATTTACTATTTTTTTTGGAATCCCCTGCTCGATTAGGATATTATACAGTTTCTGGCGGTCAATAGAATCGTAAGCCATTTTGAAATCGATATACAGCTGGTTACAGAACAATACCGTTGTACTCTAATGTTTTCTCTAATATTTGTCATAAAGAAAATATTTGATCAATAGTCAAACGATTCTGTCTAAATCCACATTGGTAGTCTCCGATAATTTCCTTGGTGTATTCCGTGATTCAACTAGTTAAGATTATAGTGAATATTTTATAACATACCAGAAGGAGTGAAATTCCTCGATAATTATTACAATCTGTCCTCAGGTCCTTTTTGTGAATCAGAATAAGAATAGGTTCTTTCTATTCTTCAGGTAATTTCTCATTCTCCCAGATCTTTTTAACCAATCGATACGTTTCGGGGGAAGGTATATGATTAAGAGTAAATACTATGTATACACTCTTTTTTCATTCATTTTAATTTCCCACCTTGCGGTACAATCAGCATTATCGTTCAGGTGGTTTTGAAGAGTGTTGGATTTTCGAACAGACTTTCATCTGAGCAGAGGACTGCGGTATGTCAGCAAAAATAGCCAGTAAAGTGTCACTATGTTGCTGTAGGTCTGACATACATATATTAAACAATATTGGTCCAAGGACACTACCCTGAGGTACTCCTGCTTTAATAGATTTAATGTTAGAATGTTCTGTTCCTACTTTTACTACAAAATGACTCTCTGTTAAATATGAGAGTAATATTAAATAATAGATCGGGAAAAGTAAAACATTAAGTTTTGAAAGCAATCATTCATGCCAAACATTATCGAAAGTTTGACTGACGTCAAGAAAAACCAGGACAATAATTTTAGATCCTAAAGAATTAAGAAATATGATCTACTAATCGATGGCATTGTTGAACAGTAGAATGGTTCTTTCTGAGACCGGATTGATGATTTGGAATAAATTTAAATATATTAAAGGAATAAAGATGTTGATGAATAATGTTTTCAAATAATTTAGAAAAGGAAGGAAGAAGGCTGATTGGACAATAGGAATTTTGAGAGTCAACGGATTTGTTAGCTTTTAATACCATGACAACTTTGGAATATTTCCAAATGGTATGGAAATGGGTGATTCTGTCACAATAGAATTGTATATATTTGCTAGAAAAAATATTGCTTTCCAAGGTAAATTTTTAATAATGAAATTCTTAATTAAATCAAATCCCGAAGCCTTATTTATAGGCAAGCTCTGGATAAAATTTTGCATTTCATAAGGATGAATTGAACTTGGTGACAATGTCATTGATAAGGGTATGTTAAGATGATTTTGACTTCAAACTCTTTAGGAGAAATAATTTTCTTCCCCATCACTTTTTTCAAGTAAATTAATAATTAATGCAAATAAATTAATTAATAAAATAAAAAATAAATAATAGTGTCAAGTTATTTATAAATAATGAACATAGCTCTGTCATAAATATTGTTACAAAATTTAAACTTTGTTTACATCCTTGGGTATTATTTAGATAAGCCTTACCTTTATCAGGTTATTTTCTTTACATGTCAGGATAATAATCCCAATTAGTTTGTGTTTTTCTTTTGCTCAGTTAACAAGGAGTGGGGTGAACCGAAGAAAGAAGAAAACCGAATAGCTGTGATCGCCTTACACAAAGTTGGAAAATGTAGGTCAGATATTTTCAACACTTTGAAACCTCTAAGTATCAGCCATATGTTCGTGTACCGCAATATAAATAGATATAAGACCCTAACTGTATGTGATGGACCTCGACTGGGCCATCCCCCCACTGTGAGAATGGCAAATGTAGTGAGAATAGTGGCTGCTTGAATAAGAAGAAATTTCATTCGAAAACAACAAATCATGTCTCAGAAAATGGGAATCTGTCATATCAATTTCTCACATAATAAAAAGTGACCTTATGATGGGTGCATTACGAAGTCTGACAGGACAAAGGCTAACCACTTTTCTAAAAAAAATTAGAGTGGACAGATGCAAATTGCTCCTTGGCTGTTACACCAATGGTCTTCATCGAAATAAAGTATTTGAAAAAAATATTGTTTCAGTTTAAATCTGTATATATTTCCTTATAACAATATTTATGACATGACTAGGTATAAATTAATTTGCAGGCCATTTATCAAATATCAAAATGTAATTCTTTAGTTTTCTTCCAAATATAATATTGTCACTATTCATTCCAAATATTTGACATTCTCACCCCCGCCCATGACCGTTAGTAGTTATGTAGTACTTACTTTTCTTAGAAGAAGCTGCTACAGATTTGGCATCAATCTTCACAAAATTTTTTTCAACAGAAGTTGCTAATTCTTCATTACTATAACTGTGTTCATTATCTTCAAGTGGGGATTCAGTAAATTTTCCACCTGAAGATTCAGCGACTTTCTTTCCTAATGAAAAACAAACTAACATCTAATTGAATTACGTTGATTTATAATTAAAGAAAATGTGTCAAGTCTTACCATTCAAAGTATTATCTTTCTTTTCTTCTTTAATAATATCTGCAATGAAAAACAATAAAATTAAACGTAAGCTAAGCTAAGTTGTAGTGCACAATTACTTGATTCCCTCACATACCTTTTATAATGCCTTTCTTTTTCAAAAGATTGAGTTTCTTTTGTTCTCTCTTCTTAATTTTTTTCTTTAACAGCCGTTCTTTAAACGGAATCATTTTAAATGGAAAAAAAATGTACCACTATAAAGACTTTGAAACACACGTGGATAGCCTAGCGAGAAGGTTGTAAATTTCGTACATAGAGATACAAGGCAATGTTGTTGTACTACAATAACAATTTATTGTCTTACAAAACAAGATGGGTTCTGAGGTTAAAAGGGATTGGGTCTGTTTACTTTTTTTTTCTTTTTCTTTTAATATTAGTGCACTGCATAGTAGTGATAGGTAGTTTGGGAGCGATAAAATTTAAATGAACTAGTTTACGAAAAGGAACTGTGAAGACTGGTCTTACTTTTTTTGAACCATAGCCTGTAATTTCACTCAGAAATGTGTAGTGGGGGAACTTGAAACGTGACGTAAGGAATAGACTGTAAAACCTACCTATTACTCTTTCAAGCCTATCAATGAATGTTTATTTCAACATTATTGTGCTTTTTTTTTTTCTTTTTAATTTATTGAAAAGAATACTTTTTTTTTGTTTTTGACGTTTGATTGAAGATAATTTCAAGTAGATAAATAAATAAATATGGCTATCAATCTAGAATAAAATGCTATGAAAATTACAGGCCAGGCCTGAAATGAAAAGAAGGAAATTGATATTAAGATTATTTATAAATTCTTTTTTTCAAAATCTCTGTAAATAATACATAAATATATTACATAAATAGAAAAAACTAAGATTTATATTTATTTAGAGAACATTTTAGCACAATGTTTGTAGATCTCGTGGGTTTTTCTTTTAATATTATAATGATATTATAATAATATTATAAGGGTGGAGATCTTTGTCAGGATTTGCAGTCGAAATTTCTTTAAATAAATAAATTTAGTTAAAAAAATAAACAAATTTTACTGCAAATTCTGATAATTTATTTTCACCTTATAAGCTTAAATGTCAACTAATTATCTGTCTCTAAAATAATATTATAACGATTATTTATTTTTTATTTTTAATAACATGTTACAGAGAATTCGTTTGTTCTTATTAGTATTTCTTGTATTTCTCATAATAACATAGTTATTAATAGAATCCTATAGAATACCAAAATGCGCAGTTGCATCTTGCAACAATAATCTAATTGACACAAAGAAGATGGAAAAGAAAATTTCATTTCATACCTTTCCAAAGGACGCTCGATGAAAAGATTGGATTTTAAAATGTAAATGTAAAAATATTGTAAAAAAACTTACTATCTTTTTCTTAGGAAACAAAATGTAGAAATTAATGAAGAAAGCCTTTCTTTCAGCAAGGTATTTAATAGAATCAAATTTTTAAATACCCAATGATTTTTACAACAATTAAGAAATCATAAATTCAAAGCCAAAAAACTTAAGAAAATAACTACATAGGATTACTTATGACATAAAAATGTAATATTTACAAAAATTCACGGAAAGAAAACGCTTCTTTAATGTTAGATTAAATAATTTTCTTTTTTTTTTTTCAATATTTCTATTATTATATATTATGTTCTGTATTTATTTGAAATATTTAAAAAGTAGTATTGTGTTACTTTGCAAAAAATCATACATCAAACTGTTAAATTACATTTTATTTGCTTCAGAATAAACCAAATATCAAATCAACCTTTCTCTCACCTTTCAAATTTATTAAAATTAATAAATTAATAAGTTATTTGGCAATACAGTGTTGATTTAATGTATAAAAGTAAATAATAATCTTAAAATGCCCAGAAACAAAGGCCGAAGGGGTAAAATCAGTCTTTTGGCTACGTCAGAGCTCAATTCCTCCCCACCATTTTCCCTCTGAGAGAGCGAACCTGGTAGTTTCACTGACCTTATTTAATACTGTTGAATTAGATTTCGTTGATATGTCATTCCATGAGATGATATCAATTTAATTGTCCAAAATAAAGAAGATGCTAATACAAATTCTTTGGCCCATCAAATTGGTATTAATACTTATTATAATAGACTGTTTTGTGATTTGAAATTGAGTGAATATTACTATTTATGTAGGTATAGTAATAAAATAATGTTTAATTTATCTCTTTAGTAAATTTAATTAGAGAGAAAATTTGGTTGTTGAGTATGATATCTGTCGATCAACACCTTGAACATTATCTTTTATTCCTCAAATCTTTTTATTACTTGAAAATCATAAAATTAAAAAAAAAAAAATTGTTTTCTTGAAAATACATTATCCAAAATTTGGTAAATTTGAAAATTTAATAAGAATTTTTTTTTGTAAATTATTGAAGTTTTTGTTTCATATATTAAATACTTTGGTTTTATAAAATTGAAGGCAGATATGAAAAACAATTTTAAATTCTTTTTTTTTTAGGTAAATTTATTATTTCAAGTAAACTTCAAAACCCTTTGTAATTCACAAAACTTTATATAATTTTTTTTCTTCTTCTTTTACATCTGATGACCTTTCTAGCCACTTTCTCCATTTTCAAATCTTAGAAACATTTCTTAGGATCATCTAAAAATAATTTAAAATTCATTCAAATGTTTAAAAAGAATTACCTATAGGTGTTGGTCTCCTTTTAAATGTGTCTATATAAGTTCGATTGTACATGTTTAATTGTAATTGTTTTATTGTAATACTTTTTTGTATTGCACAGCCAAGAAACATACAGAGAGACCTGCTGGATGTTTATTTTCCTCATAGATCTACAGGACACAGAACCAACTTCAAGCAGAAAAGAGGTAGGACTTTATCTTAACATATACTTATGGGTCTTTACTCAAACAGACTGTGGTCTGAGGAAAGCTTAAGTTAACTAAAATAATTACAATGGCCTTGAGCTTAAACAGATAAGATAAATTATATAGGATCCTTAATTTGTAGATAGTTCAAATAGAACAAAACAACTATGTTTGAGATGGTCAATAGTTTCTGCCCACTTTTGAAAAGTGCATTTTTTTTATTTTTTTATTACCAGGTATGTAAATATGAAACTGGAATTTTGTATAGAAAATACAAGTTGCATAAAAATGTTTGACTGACTGACTGATGACTCCTATTGGAGCATAAGGAATTTAAAAGTTCATTCCATTCTGCTCTCATTTTATCAATCATTTTTGCTTCTGGCAAAGTCTTGCCAGTTTGGCTCAAGTCATTTTGAACAGATCTACGCCACAACTCTCTAGGTATTCCTCTTCTTCTTGTTCCTTGCAATGGATTCCATTGCAAAGCTTCTTATTCATTTCTATTTCTTTTTCCTTATTTTAAAGTAGATAGAAAGCTGCTCTGCGATACTCCAGAACCTTTCATTAGGGATCCTCTCAGTCCCTCTGATCTGTAGGGGTCGGGTAACGTATTCATTCACCTTCTATGTTTCACTGCCATAGAGAAGGACTGATTTTACATCGGTGTTAAACAGCCTTATTTTGGTCTTTTTTTTTTTTTTTTTTTGGAAAATATCATGTTCTTCCATATTGAGTAAAGTTGGAAAAATGCTGATTTGCGTTTTTGATTCGACTTTTAGTATCTTCCAACGAGCCCCTTTCTTTGGTGATCACCCTTTGCAAGTAGATGAATGATTCCACGCACTCTAAGATAATTTATCTCAGAATGAGTGGATTCTATATGTAATACTTGATTAAAATTGATTGTTTGTTGTTGATAGCATTCAGTATAAACGGTTTCGCCAGCTCATAATAGATCACCCCCTTGCGATCCCATCAATCACAAAGCCTTTCCTTCTTTCCATAGCCTTTCCTTCTTCCATAGACTTGTGAATTTTCTAAACCATGGAAAGCACTGTGATTTACCAAGAACATGCTCGCCGTAAGCTTAAACAAGCATTCGATACGATTCTGCTGCATTTTTATTTAAATGGTAACAGAAAACCAATGCTGCCCGCCAATCGTTTATAGACAAAAAACTCGTCATGTTTAATGCTATCAAAGCTATGATGTTATATGAAACTTGTATTGTTGCAAGTTAAAATTCATTGCTAGTGGTCGAAGAAATAAAATGGCTCCAATAATGTTATTAAATGGTAACTATGTTAACAACTAGAGCCTAAATTCAGTTTCGTCTTTACAAACCTGTTAATTAGTAATGTTCCCTTGGTGCATGTTGTGCAGTAGGTGTGTAATGTTGTTTATTTTTACATTTTTTCTCGTTGTTATTGCCTCTCGCTATTCATTAGACTAATTTTTGAAATTATAACATTTAAAAATTACCATAGTTTAAATAAAATTCATTCAGATTTTATCAAAACATCAATTCATTTAATTTGTATGGTCGTTTTTGGTCAGTATTTGGAAAATGTCATCGATTCAGTAAATAATAAGCATTATTATTTTTTTTGTTAAATTATAATTATTCAGTACTAAATTTACTATTTCAATGTGAGAGGTAATGGCAAATTTCAGTATCTCCAGACTGAAGTGGGAAACCACTCTCATTAATAAACAAATTTTTTCTTACAGAATATTAAATAAATAATAAAATAAAATAAATTTATTGTACCTTAATATTTGCATATCATTATGCTATTATCTGTTGAGTTCAGTATTCTTTTTATGTATTTACTTAAATATGAGATACAACTAAAGTTCATTTATTTTTTCATGGAAAATATTAATAAAATTACTGTTCATAATTTTAAAGTATATTTTCCTATTTTTAAATACTTATTAAAATTATTTTTAATCATTAAGATTATTTAGAAATTAGATTAGTTTGGTACTCTTCATGAGAGGGTTTAGAAAATTCAATGAATTGCAGATGACAAAAAATCAGCCATGGGACTACTATAGATTTTTATTTTAAGTATTGTTAATTTTTAGATTTTTTGTATGTAGCATATGCATGATATTTATTTTTATAGGTATACACTGGCTGTCTCCTCTCACAATTATTTATATTGCATATTTATCACTTTATAACAGTCTAAACTGTGAAAAAATTCATTAAGATTTTTTTTTAAATTAGTATTTTTTTTTTTGTCAAATCTGGTTAGTTAGTATTTTTACAATGATTAAATTAATTTATAATACATAAAATAAATATGCTATTAATTTTGGTTTAATTTCTTATCGAGTATATTTATTATTCTGATATTTCAAGTGATATTTATATTTATCACCAATTCATAAACAA